CCCTCCCCCTCCACTCACCCTTTGTCCATAGTCCAGCTGGAGAACACAATAACGGCCGTCAAAGCCTCGCCTTTCTCCTTCCGGAAGGGGCGGGGCCCTGGCTTCTCTACACTGGTCGTAGTCACCTGCAAACTGGAAACGCCCCCTTTTGAGGGAGGGGCCGGGCTTACCCCACGCATCCAGCACTGGGGAGGCGACATTGCATTATTATTATTATAGTCGAGGTTTTACGGCGCTTGCAACTGCATAAGGTCATATGATCGAAAAGGGGTGTTGTCAACAGAGAAGTCTTTACAGGGAATCAGGCTTACCCTGCTCACCTCTCTGGCTTCAACAACACAAAGTCTGCTTCGACTATCAAGACACCCCGGAAATAGCAGGTCACAAGAGTGTGACAACCATACAAAAAAGTAGAGGAAAATGACGATACTTAGGATTAGGAAAGAAAAAGCAGCAGTTCCCTGTTGCAAATCAGGCACAGTTATGAGCGTAACATGAATTAGCCCATTTACAATTCTACTGTGCTTGAACGAGAAATGCCCCCGCCCCGGTGGGTAGGAAACGACATTGCACTTGTGACAGAAATGATAATATCATTTATTATATCAAAATCATGGTACGGTACTATTAGTTGTTGTGTTTTATTAGTTTTTTAGTTTTAGTCAGTGTTTACAAGGGGGCCTTCTAATACATGTATGGAATTCTGAAGGGTTGAAGATGACTCATTGAATACGGTTTCAGTCTTCATCGAAGTGTTTTTAGCCCCCCCCCCCCCCCCCCCAACAACAACACAAAAGTGTTAAAAAGTCTTAGTGAAATATGTCCTTATACCATAACCATATCAAAGAAAGCAATAATTGTAAGCCTCAAATGATTCTGCATGCATACATATTATTACATTATTATTTCTGTATAGTACGATAATATTGATAATATCAATACCTTAAGGTGCGTATTAGGCTCTCGGGTAGTCAGATGAGCGATAGAGCTACAAACCTTAAGATATTCTATATGCAAAAGATTAGGAGGTACTGACTAAAGTTGGAAGGAATCTTGCAGAGGACGATTTCAAATGCTGGCTGTAGCCATCTTAAAAAAGCAAGCCTCAGATCCACACCAAAAAAGTTATTGTTTCTGCTGAGCTATTTTTGTGCAAATACGCCCCAAATTGATTACCCTTTTTGGGTAACGTATTGAAAAATCATTTTTATATTATTAAAAAAGAAATAAACTTAAAATCATCATAACATTTTCCCAATAACATGCCTTAGTCATAGTCAGTCCAGTTTGGGGTACACGTATGTGTTTTACGGCACTCGCAACTGCCTAAGTTCATATCAGCGCAGCAGGGCACATTTAACATTTTCAGTTGGTAGTACATTTTCGATTTCGTCCGAAGCCTACTCTTATTGATTTTGGATAACCATGGGATCTTTAACGTGCACAGCTTGCACTCGCGACCTCCGAGATTTTCCGCCCTTATCCGAGAAGGGCCCTTATCCGAGAAGGCTAGGTGTTCAATTTTACCTACCAGAAGATCAGGGGTGTGGCTGAAAGACAGCAGTAAGAACGAGCTAAGGAGTAGCAGTAGAAAGGTTGCAGAGAGAGAGTCTGGAGCTCAGAGGAGGAGGCAAAGGAGGTGAGGGGGTGGGGGCAGAAAGTGGAGACGAAAGTATAAAAGAGAACATTGTCAGAGAGCAGGAAAAAAAAGGTGTAAGGAGACAACATTTAGAGAAGAAGATTTTCCGTTGCTATCCGGATTTGAACCCGGGACCTTTGAATAAGAGGTAGACACCGTAACCTCTCGACCACGAGAACCCCTAACTGTCCCCATGGTTTTATGCACCCCGCATAATTTAGCAAAATTTGATCTTTTAAAAATAAAATAATTTCTGATTATTTTCCTTCATCATTCTTTGTTTAAAATTAACAAAATCGCATGATTTCACATTTTTGGGGCTCAGTTTGTTTTGATCTAATTTAAGAATTTTTCTTGCATAAAACGACGGGGACAGCCCTAAACTATCTTGTAAGATGCCACAAATTTCTGTTTATTCGAACAACAGCGCTATATATACATTTGTATGTGAATCTTTAGAAATTATTGATTTGTGCGATTGTGGAATGCCGGTAACAATTTTTTTAATAACTAGAAGGGTGCAACAAGTGTGAAGTGTGCTGACAAAATGAGTTACTTCTCAGATTTTAGACCGATGGAAATAGAAACATCAAATTTATAGGTTAAAATTCTACAATTTATCAGTATGAAATGATAAAAGTCATGTTAAACTTGAAGAGAATGGCATTGGTTTAGAGTCTACTAAACTTGTGTTGATTTTTGACTGATATCTCCATTTATGGATTGCGAGAAGTAGATCTAACTCATTTTGTTAGAACGCCTCACAAACTCTATCGCTCATCTGACTACCCGAGAGCCTAATACGCACCTTAAGATACTCTAAGTGCAACAGTTGAAGGAATCTTGCAGAGGTCGATTTCAAATGCTGGCTGTAGCCATCTTAAAAACAAGCTTCAGATCCACTCAAAAAAGGTGGAGCGTGCTAACAAAATGACAGCCCTAAACTATCTTGTAAAATGCTACAAATTTCTTTATTCGAAAAAGTTAACAAGTAGTAAGCCAACTTACTTTCAACCGCCCATGACTCTCCATCGACAAATGCTTGAATGGTTCGGGCCACATCCTGAAAACAAGCTGATGAAGCGTTTCCGAAAACGTCTGTCCAGGCTTCCCCCACTGGCCCACTGTTAGAGCAGAATCCTGTGTCAGTTGCTGTATCATCACCGAACTCATCTTCTATCTTCGCTGAGTTCTCTTTTCTACCTTTTATTGACTCATGTGTCTCGGAACTACGTAAAATTCGACTGGTTTGTTGGTCACCAAAGTAACCAATATCTTGAATCGGTTGTCCATTTTCCTTTCGCTCATTCGCAGAACTATGATCTATAAAATTGGCGAAATCTGAAAAATGAAATTTATCTACAGCTGAAAGGACATTTGTAACCAGGTCGCTGTGTTGGTCAGGACGTTGTTTGAGATCCCTCAGACACTGTAGTCTTGACAAGGCCTCGGTGTACAGGTTATTGGTCCTTTTCTCTTTTTCTTCTTTGCACTGCTTGCCTTCGCACGCGCCATTTTCTCCGTCCCCGCGAACTTGCTGCGGCAGAACAAGAACGAAAGAACTCAGAAAAAGGAAAGCAACCAAGAACTTGGGCACAAAGAACATGATGGAAAAAATTATCTTTCACTTTCAGTCAGAACGAACGTCTGTGACAAAACCTGAGTGGGCTAAAAAAAACAACTTGTCTCGCCTTTATATCTACAACATTTCCACTTTGTAGAAAACGCGTTGTTCTAGTTCAAGACCTGCTTGGTAAATGTGCAACGTAGGTGTGACTTGACACAAATTTCATGTTCAGACCTAGATCTAGATCTAAAAAGCGACAACGAAAAAAACAAAACCCCTTCCTCACTGGGAATCTGTCCCCGTGGTTTTCTGCAGCTCGCATAATTAATTAAGCACAATGATCATTGTTTGCATAATTCCTGATCATTTTCCTTTATAATTCTTTGTTAGAACAGAGAGGGTTTACAGTCTGCCATCAACGAAAATGCCTTGAACTATGGACGCAGTTTGTTTCGTTTACCCCGCGTTTCTCCACGCTCAGCTGGTGACCCAGATACGCGCATCCGGGCGAAGTGTCAGCTCTCTAATATTACTGTAAACTCTCTGGTTAGAATTAACAGAATCGCATAAATTCACATTTTTTGGGCTCAGTTTGCATAATTTCAGAATTTTCTAGCATAAAACGACGGGGACAGCTGGGAATCGAGCCCATGTTTCAGCGTGCAATGGCGGAGGAGAGCCTGAGTCCTCGTTATTGATATAGTTTCTGGTGACCTTTGTGCCAGATTAGGAACAGTTATGAATCTAAAGAGTGCGCCGTCAGGTCTTATAGTCCTCAACATTGTTACAGTTTCCCGTGACTTTTGTGCCAGATTAGAAACTAGTCCCTGAGATTGATTTTTGTTTTCAAGTAAAGAGAAAAATTAGCAGTCTCGATGAATACATTATGTAATATCAGAGGTCAGGCACTGTGATTGCGGCGCGCACGTTTTGCTGTCTTGAAAACTTTGTGCGCAACACTGGCATCCAAATGATGGGCAAAACACAAATATCGCTATTGTCTTGTGGGTTTTTTTGTTTTGTTGTGGGTTTTTTTGTGGGGGGGG